CATTGCCTCAATAGGATTAGTAAGGTAAGGTTTAGCCCGGTTTGAGTTGCCTTGATCCTATGCCTTTGGAAAAATATCCACACGGCTATGAGATTATATGCCCTCGTGAGACATTGCCGGCAGCTACACCATGAATCCTCTACATGAGGCTGCCATAATGCAATGTGAGGCGCAGAGGAGTGATTATATAGCCAAGGCATATAGGTAACAATACCGGTGTTATTGTCCCCCTTATTTGTACTGTTCCTAATTGTTGTATTTTCTGTTTTTTTTTTAATTAATAAAAAAAATAGCCCTAGGCGCTTGCCTAGCGGATTGCTGGAAAAAAAAAATTCTACATTAACTGACCTTGCCAGAATCCTTTGAGGCTGGAAGATCTTCTGAGCAGATGCCTACTAACTTTATCAACATGACGAATGATCATGTTTTTATCGGCGTTATCAGACCATAGGCCAAAATTTCATGTATGATTCTATATTTTATTGAAAGAGCACTTTATTCAAAGGCAATTACAACTTAAGTGCTATCATGATACGTGTATGCATATTTCAATTTTTTTTTCTTTAGTATTCTTGTACAGATAGCACGGGGATAAGCTCCTTGATGAGGCCAAATTATCGTCCAGGCAGGTCTTTAGAATTTTTTTAAAAAACACGAGTACATATACTAAAAGTGTAAAAAAAATTCCAGCCAAGATTAAAAATAATTAAAACTAACCCAAAAAAAAAAAGGAAAGAAAAATACTAATGCGGTGCGAGGCGGGTGGACGCGGGTTGCAATTTTGCGGGTTAAGAGAAAACCCACCCCGCACCGCTTGCCATCCCTATTTGATATTGAGTGCAATAAAGCAAACACACATGTAACATTGAAGTTGTACAGAGTATGTTCAGCAATTGCTGTTTTTACAAAATGTGTAATGAATTTGCACGAAATGATTCACAAAAGGAGAAAGCTCATATCTACATAGATTATACAGCCTCTAATGTTAGATACTTTTCCTGAATGTGCAGAAGATAAAAACTGGGAAACTTATCACCAGGAAGCGAGATAACAATTCAAATTCTAGTACATTAGACGTTGAAAATTTGGAAGGAATCAACTACAGTATGTAACCTGTCCTTCATCTTCTCCCATCTCCTCTCATTTGCGCCAGTTGTCAATGTATAGAACTTTCCTGCATTAGAATCAACATTCAAATGGAAAATGTCAGGTAAACATGTGCAACATTCTGTAAATTCCCAGTTACTAGAAAAAGAAAGAGGTTGACAAACGACATTGATCTGAATGCAGAAGTCACAAACGAGAAAATGGGAAGGATATCTGCGAGTTATAAAAGTAGTGTAAGATGGAACTTTGGAAGCACTACTAGAATATGGATTACCCTTGCATAATGGGGTTGGATTAAACAATTAAAAACCAAGGAGTTTTTAAATGGTCAACTAACTACATGATGTAATAACAAATCATAATATCATCAAATTGATATCAACTGGTGTATTCTCATATTTGAAGCAATCATGTTATTGATCAGCGCTTTATTTCTCAAATAGCAACTCTTTTGAGGGAAAGTGAAATTCAACAGAAGAAAATCTAATGGCCAGTTAAAGTATTTCTTATGGTTTTTCTGAGAATGATGTGGTCTTATGGTTAACAATAGAAAACATTGATACTGCAACCATTTTGGGCTTTCTAAAGGAGGTGGGTGTGCAGGTTGAACTCTCTTCCTGCACTTCTCTATTATCCCTGATATTACGAATAGAAAGCTACAGAGTTTGACCCCAAGATGGTGAGTGATGTCCATCATTTGCATGATTCTTGATCTTTGAGCGGAAAAGTTAACTAAATGGAACCCCCATCTTTATTGTATATCAAACCAGCCATGCGTATCCTCTGAACCTTATTTGCAGAAGCCAACATATAGTGCTACAAAATTAATGGAGATGAACAAGTATTTGCCATGTCAGAAATTCTTGCTGGTTAGCAATATCCTTTTTAAATCAAGTTGCCAGTTAACAAAAATAGTCATTGGCATGCCAATTTCTGAGGCTCGTGAATGTATAAATGATATTTAAATGATGCTTATTTTAAAACTACAATGAAGCAAGTAATTGGCAGGTAATTAAGTTCTAATCCTGAAAGGCAGAAGATTCGAGACCATTCTTTCATCAGGCTTGGTCAAGGCGAGCTTGAAATGTTCAAGTAAACAAAAAGTAGAACTTCATACCAAACAAATCACGACCGTTTAACCATAAGTTTCATACCGTTGCCAATGCAGACTGCAGTGAGGCCATGGCGAGTAAAATTTGGGGCTTGTGCAACAAACTCAAATGTATAATAGGCTTTCCCTTCAACATCGTGCTACAGTATGATCAGAGAAAGATTGTCAAATAACTTCATAGACATCAAGCAATAGTATATAAGCTCATGCTGGAAAACACAAACATGACAAGGAAAAAAATAGAAAACATCCGGTCTACAATATGGGACACTGAAATTGACAGGCCAAGAGAATTAGGCCAAGTCGCCAAGACATAATGAGTTTCACCTAGATACCGATTTTTCTTGCATTTCATTTCAGACACTTGAGGCACCAAGAATATACTGATTATTCGACAAATCAGATGGTAAGCCTATACCGGTTCCTAAGAGGAATCTCTGCATTATTTAAGTACAGCAGATGTAAAAAAGTCAAGCTGTGAAATTGTTCACGGCAATGTCAAATTTACATGTGTATCAGATGTAAAAGCTCGTTGCTTCTGTTTTTGGCAAGCCAGAAATTATTCCTTCTTTAGTACGAAACAAAAATAGGAGGTCCTGACAACTAGAACGATAGTATCAGCGGAATATTGACTCTGTCAATATATTTTCCTTTTCTCTTTTGGAAGAAGGGAAGAGACGGTCTTCTGATGAAGGATGACAGAGGGAATATGAACTTTTTTTTTGATAAGATAAAAGTTTAGAGGGAATATGAACTTGTTTTTTCATTCAAAGGAAAACTCTTGGTTCTTTCTTTCCATTGGCGTCTTTCAAGCATGGCAAGAGAGTGATATGCAGTCATAATCATAGCTACTTCACATTACGATATCAGCAGCTCCCATAAAGTCTCAAATTGTTGGCCAAAAGGGAGATGGACCGTGGGACACAGGGTAGCAACTTAAACCTTTCCAACTGAGAATTTCTCAATATTATGACAAGTGACTTAACTTTCTTTCGACTAAACGAATCTAAGCTAATTGAAGCCTTGCTAGGAAATCCATGAATACCTGGAAATTATCATTAGGAAGAGCGGAAATCATATTGAAGTGGTAACCGAATTTATAGCTGACATGATATAACACCATGTTAACAGCGCCATATCAAATTGCTAGAAGATGTTTTCATCCCATATCTAGCCTTTTTCCTAAAGTAATTGCATATCAAATGTGAAGACAGCATAACAATAAGCCGAGAGGATTCAAAGTTTATTCTCGCGAAAAAAAGAGGCCACGCCTTGAACATACAACAACAACAACAGACCCAGTGTAATTCCACAAGTGGGATCCGGGGAGGGTAGTATGTACACAGACCTTACCCCTACATTCAATAAGGCAGAGAGGCTGTTTCCGAAAGACCCTCGGCTTAGGAAAGATAAAAGGAAAGGCAACAACAATCACACAGATTATAAGACCGAAGCAAAAATACAAAGATATAAAACTAAAACTGAATATTGTAATCAGAAGGCCGAAATGATAGCAACGACAAGTAATCACATAAATCAAGGAATACGAAAATACATAAATAATGCTAACTCATGTACGGAAGCTACTGTTACAGACAAGGACAACGCTAGGCGACCTATTCTAACCCTTTACCTTTATTCTCAGCCTCCACACTTTCCTATCCCTGGTCATGTCCTCAGTGAGCTGGAGCAATGTCATATCTTGCCTAATCACCTTTCCCCAATACTTTTTCGGCCTACCTCTACCTCTCCTTGAACATAAGTGGCAATTTTGCATTTCAAAATTTTTTATGGTAAAATATAGTTCCCTTTTAGACTTCTACATTTATGTTATAGAAAGGTCCTTTTCTGAAACCCAATCCTTTGTTGCTAATGTGTATACCGAATTGACTATTACTATTATTTTTATTATTATTGATAATCGAGAAATCCCTGAGGTCTAGGTGCACACAGTTTGAAACTCGGTGGATAACGGGCCCACCCCTCACCTGCCAAATTATTGTAAGTAATACATAATCATCATGAAATTTAACATAAGAAAGAGAACATTTCCCTGTTTCAAGAAGACACAATAAGAAAAGCTATTAAAAACATTATATGGGGAACTCGAGAAGCTATTAATTTTATTTTTTTTGGGAACTTGAAAAGCTAAATAAAATCTTTTAGCCAGTATTGATGCTTCTTCTAATATAGATAGCATTATGCAAATTAATGATTTCCCTTCTTATTTCAAGTTCATAGAAATTTTAACATATACCAGCGACATGGTGACTAAAACTGGACCGTGTGCTATGATAAACAACGCTTTACTAACATGATCCGTAGTTAGCCCAAATTTAACTTCAGCCATGGAGAAAGCTAGTTCACTAGCAAGCTTGCTTCTTTTTAGGAACATCAAAACATGTCAACCAGATGAATTTAGTCCTGAGACGAAGTTTGACATTGACATTTACACATCAAACATTTCAAGGTTCTGATGGGCTAGTTGAACAACAACAGCAATAGCATGACGAACACTCTAAGATCAAGGTATAAAAAAAACTTTCAGTGGAAGGGAACTAGAAAACACAGACCTCTGATGCTTCAATTAGTTTTGTCTTTTGAGAAGGTGATGATAAAAACTTTTTTATTAAAGTTTCAGCAACCTGCAATGTGAATATTAGCAGATGAGAAAATGTTGGAATGCGGCTCAAATCAAAAGCCAATACACGATCCATAAAACTCTAACTACACTGAAAATCCAGATAGCTAAAAAGACAGTACATAGAAAACCAGCAAAACAGGAAACTTTTGCAGGGAAATTTAGGCTGTTTTCTCATAAATACCAAAAGAAAAATAATTTAGAATTTCCTACCAACCTCTTGTGGTGAACCAAAATCACGAATATCTTGTTTGCTGGTGGGTATCACATTTACACTAACGCTTTCTAGTGGTTCAATAACATCTTTGAAAACCTTATCTTGACCTTCGACCACTACTTCCTGGATCAGGAGAAAAGGGGAAAAATGAAAAAGAACAAGATGAACAAGCAAAGAGTAAATAAACCAAAAATAAAAATAATCTACAAGGTAATAGTGAAATTATGACAAATACAAAGTGGCTAAGGACTAGAAAATTCTAACTGCAGATTTTGTTTTTAAAATAATTTGTATTAGATGCGATGAAACAGAAATTAGGTGGAAAAAACTAGGAGGGGAAATATAGGCCTTATGTGTTTGAGATAAGAAGAATAAAACTGAGATAGGCCTGCCCTAAGCTAACTGGGGAAAGGGGCTCCTTTAACTCCCTTGAAGGATAGCTGAAATTCCAGAAGGAAATTAAATGAAATAGATATGCAGAACTGCTAAATCCACAGAAGCAGCTCCAGAACACGAGTTTTCCCAGCAACCTTTTGTGCAACTAAAAGACAAAGCAAAAGAAAGTTGCAAAACATAAAGTAACAGACAATTGTTATCAAGATAGGGAATGGACCTGCCACCCAAAAGGATAGACGAAATTGTATCCGTCTTTCTTGTCTGTGACGGGCAGAAATCCCTTCTTAGATTCTGCAGCAACTGAGCCATATCAAAGGGTGTACTCTTAGGATATCAGCCATTGAAATTTCAAGAAGCAGTAAAGTGCATGGAAGATAATTGTTTTTGATAACTTTGCAACACCAGTTTTTAGGAAACACTAATACAGCAGGGATATATTGAGAAATGAAACTGAAGTGATTTAACATGTAAGGACATTTAAGTACATTGCAAGAAGATTTTTACATGATGTTGGTGTCTGATAAGACATTAGCAACAAAGGGGCAATTGTTGATCCCATGGCAAGAAATTGACGTCTTCCAGGTCTATCTGTAAGGAAAACAACAAATAAAAAGGATATGATTAACCACTTTACTTTTGGTGCTAAAAGGTCTATCATAATAGGACAAGCAGGTTTATTATTCTGCATGTGGATCAATATAATAAGCAAATAGCCTATTCTGAAAATATTGGGTATGTAGGATGACTCGTTAAACTCAAAGACCATAAACCCCAGGACTCCAACTAGCAAACTCTCACTTCAACAGATTGAACTGGATCGATTTCACCATCTTATATATGGTAGAGATGACACTATCGGACTAACTCACCCATGCATTGGGCAGCATAGAGAGTATCCACTCAAGTTAATGTAAAAACAGCAAATGAGATCACACACAATACATCAAGTAGCTTAAACTGTCTAACTGGTGTACTCTTCTCTCAACTTTCACATCAAAAAGTTGGCTGTGAGCAACATCAATGAGATTAATTCTAGAGCAAAAAAATTGGGAGAAGAAAATATAGGGGGGAGTGAAAATCATTGAACTTATAATGATCCTTGAAAAGCTCAAATGCTCCTGAAGTTTGAAACATTGCTCGTCATGAGCCAAAGACCCCCATCTGAATTTGGGTTGCCTGACAAATAGATGGTAACTGACAGTAAACCGACTAAACCACTTCATTGGACTTCTTTCATATCATGTTAGGGTAGTTTACCTTGGCAAGAGGAAATTGAAACTTCAGACACTTGTTCTGATCTGATAAAGCCAGGACCTCTTCCGTTGGGGCTGTTCCTAAACAATCCTTGCTGATGCATCAAAGCCACTTTTATAAATGAAGAGGAACTTCGAAACAACGGGTATAGGGTTACAGTCAGTTAAGAAAGATGACGGTCGAACCTGAGGGGATGCATTTAACATATATGCATGATGTACTGATGGAAACTTCTGCAAAGACACCATCTCTTCAAGCAGTAACGCAGACCTGCAAAGTTTTAAATTCAGATATGTATGAGAAAAATCTAAGCCAGTCAATGTTATTACAACTAGGTGACCGCATCTTCATGAATTCAGTCATGTAATTAAGGATATTGCTCTTGTGAGTTTATACATGCTTATTAAGTATGAATCAGTACAGCTATAGACAAATGACAAAAATGAATGACGTAAAAGGTACAAAAAGGTTCTACTACATAGGCAACTAAAAATTCAAGATTTTCAATTTGATCAAGGTTATATGTGGTAGAAAAGGTTATATCAGTCAATCACGTTTCAATTCCAGGTCAGTATTTAGAGGATTCAGCATTAATAGATCGTTCTTAGGCTAACGGCCAAATAATGACAAATCCTTTACCCAGTCTTTGGACTGGCTATGCTTTGCAACCACATAGGTGGTAGTCGGGCAAAAAGGTCGGGGGTGGAGCCAGAAGCCCGGCTACAGGTTCCACCGAACCCATTAGCTTTTGCTCAAATAGTGTATTTGTGTTAAGAAACTCATCAAATATGTATAAATATTAAATTTAGAACCCAGTTATTAGTACTTAATGTCGTCAGTTCTAAAATCCAGAACGCATAAAATTGAAAACCCAGCTCCGCCTCTGAAAAAGGTTATACTACACTTAAAATTTGTTCAACTTCAAACATTACTACTTATACTTCTTACAAGTGTGACATGCCAACCAGGTACGCATAATATTACAGTAAACAACTTTTATCCGGCTCACACTGTAATGTTATACTAACACAAGGTGCTGGAAGATTGCCAGAAAAGAAAGAGAAAGCATGAAAATCCCGACAATTAATAGGACGTCTAGAGCAGTTATTAAAGAGGGAATTCGAACTACAAATTTCCAAATTGTTACTCCTACGTCTCTGGAGGATAAAATTATGGTTACAACTTACAAGAGACAGAACAGAGAATGTGAAGAATATAGAAAATAGAGTGACGTTAAACTTGTTCTGAAATTACCTAAGAAGTTGCCGGCGGTGAAGTTCCGGCGAACGAGAGCTTTTACCACGCGCTCAGGGGAAGAAAGCAGTTAATCTTAATCTTCACCACAGTTTTAGTGGGGAGCTTCTAAAACCACATCATCCAATATCTTCTTCCCTCTCAATATCCACATCCATTAAATAAAGGGAAAAGACCAAATTGACACTTGCAAAACAAACTCGAATATTCTTAAGAAATGTATATAATTTTAACGGCTCCCAAAAATAATAACAGACAAATAGTATATATATATATATATATATATGTGTGTATTATATACAAAAAATAACTTTGTTTTGTATAGTTTTTGGCTAACAAATGCAAAAAAAATTAATTGACTGGCCAATATTTTTGCCCAATATTCTTCCTAATTCCGACTCTTTACCTCAAATGGGGTCGTCCATAATTCCATTAAAAATTCACATCCATTAGATTAAAAATTATAGTTTTTCAATTTTGATAATTAATTCTGTGCTCAAGAAAAAGAAGGATGGTGTATGTTGACATTCCACGTAAAACTAATTAATTCATGATGAATTTTAATTATAATTTAATAGTTCACTTTTTTTTAATCTTTTTACAGATTTTTAAGCAGTACGAGTAGCTAAGTAGGTATGGAGAACTGTTGCGTCGCTAGAAATTCTTCTCTATACAAGTTCTCGGACAAGGTTTTTCAACACAACTTTCATAGGCGAGAGGTGTGAGTACCGCGAGGTGTGAAGCGATTGCGTACTAAATGAAACGACTTTCACTTTCCATACTGAGTACTGACTATGTTTCTTTTTTCCTCCAATTGTTAGCATTATGTCATAGTTCTTTGTCATAACTGTTGTGATTTTACTTTTATTGAGCCGGGGATCTATCAAAAAAAACTTCTCTATTTTCACAAGGTGAAAATAAGATCTGTGTTGTTATTGTAGTAATTGTTAGCGTCGTGTTAGAAATTGAATATTGGTTCGCATCAAGTCTTTGTAACTTGGAATTTTTACCTCCTATAGCAAAGGTTAACACATTATTTATTTTAAATAAATACCATTTAAAAAAATTATATTCTATAGATACCTTTTAAGGTTTATAGCAAAATATTTAATTTCGGTTACCTCCTAGCCCTAAGTGTGACGACCCGGCCAGTCGTCTCATGAGTTGCCGCTCCGTTTTCCCTATTTCTGCTTTGCTATGCTTTAATTATCCGTGTTATGTGGTATCGGGTTGGTCGGATCGAGTTCGGAAAGGATTTGGCAAGGTTTGAGACACTTAGTCTCTTTAGAGTGAGTTTAATTTGAAAAAGTTAATCGGATGTTGACTTATGTGCTAGAGGGATCGGATGTGAGTTCCAATGGTTCGGTTAGCTTCTGGAGGTGATTTGTGGCTTAGGCGCGATCGGAATGAATTTTGGAGGTCTGTAGTAGATTTAGGCTTGAATTGGCAAAGTTGATGTTTTGGCGATTTCCGATTAATAGGCGAGATTTTGATATAGGGGTAGGAATGGAATTCCGAGAGTTGCAATAGCTTCATTATATCATTTGGGATGTGTGTGCAAAATTTCAGGTCAATCGGAAGTGGTTTGGTTGGGTTTTGATCAAAAGCGTATTTCGGAAGATTTTAGAAACTTAGGCTTGAATCTGATGTGTTTTGGGTGATTTGATGTTGTTTTAGGTGTTTTGATGATAGGAACAAGTTTGAATAAGGTTTTAGGATATGTTGGTGCTTTTGGTTGAGGTTCCGGGTTCCTCGGGTGAGTTTCGGGTGGTCAATCGGACCATTTTGAAGTTTGGAAAAGTGCAGAAAAACAGTTCCAGTAGTTGCAGACATTTTTGGTCTTCGCGTTCACGGGAGGACCCTCGCGTTCGTGAAGAGTCTGCTGAGGGAGGTGAAGGTTTAGCCTTTGCGTTCGCGAGGCAGGTGACGCGTTCGCGAAGGGCTGCGAGGTTGTGCATCACGTTCACTAGAAGGTGTTCGCGATCGCGTAGAAGAACTGGGTCAGCTGGGTTGGAAGTCAAGTTGATCTTCGCGTTCGCGGGAGATGGAGCGCATTCGCGAAGGGTCGCCTGGGTGAAGCATCACGTTTGTGAGGGCTTAGTCGCCATCGCGTAGAAGGAAAGTTGGTCAAAGTAAGTTTGTGCTTCGCGAGCGCGAGGGTTTGACCACGTTTGTGAAGAAAGAAATTAAGGCCTGGGCAGATTGTTTTTAACTCGCCTTGTCCGCGATTTTGGGGCTCATTTCCTCCATAGTTGGCCATATTGGGAGATTTTTGAAGGAGATTGAAGAATGATTCAAGGGGAATCGTTGGGAGGTAAGATTTTCGGACTTAAAACTCGATTCTATTGTGAAATCTACCTAGAAAATCATGAAAACTAAGCTTAAAATTGAAGAACTAGGGCTTGAGAAATTGGACTTTTGATTGGGGATTTGGATTGGGGTCGGATTTGAGAACTTTTGACATGTATGAACTCGTGGGAAGATAAGGAATCTATTGGTGCAAATATTTTTGAATTTCGAGACGTAGGCCCGGGGGTCGGGTTTTGCTAATTTCGGGATTTGTGCCCTTTATTGATTGTTTTCGCTTGGGCTTTGTTACCTTAGCATATTTTGACGTCTTTGTTCTGATTTTGGATAGATTCGACGCGCGTGGAGGTTGATTCGAGGGGAAAAGGCGTTGCGAGCTAGAGATTTAGCCAGTTCGAGGTGAGTAATGATTGTAAATGATGTTCTGAGGGTTTGAAACCCCGGATTGCACATTGTAGTGCTATGTTGAGGTGAGACACACGCTTGATGACGGGCGTGGGGAGTATACTATTGGGGATTGTGACTTGGTCCGTCCTGATTGATGATTTTACCGCGTATTTGACTGAAAACTATTTGCTATCATCATTATTTGGGCTGAATGCCATATTTGGGCTTCGTGCCAACTATTTGAACCCTTCGGGGATTTTCATTACTATTTCCTCACTGTTTTGACTCTATACTTGAACTCAGTCATGTTATTTTCCACTGTTTTTATTCTCAGCCATGTTTACTCAGTTTTAAGACTTAAATGATATTTTAAATAATGTTTGGGCTATGAAACAGTGTTTTACTATTGTCCGAGGGGCTTGTGAGTATTTTTGACAGAGTAAGGCCGAGGGCCTAAGTTGTGAGGAAACACTGATACTGATTTGAGGCCGAGGGCCTTATATATATATATATATATATATATATAACAAGGTGGTTTGATTGATATGAGGTCGAGAGCCTAGTTTTGATGCCACGAGATGGCTTATTATTGTGCTTGGGCCGTAAGGGGCCCCTCCAGGAGTCTGCATACCCCCAGTAAGCGCGGATACCCATTGTGATGTGAGATTGAGCCCGAGGGGCTGGTACTGATCTAAGATGTTGCCCGAGGGGCGGATTTGTTGATACTGTGCCCGAGGGGCGAACCTCTATTTGTTTACTTTATCTTAATTATCTATCAAATTACTTGTTTACTGGTTGAAAGAGGATTTTACTTCTTTTACTGATTTTAAGTGGTTTTACTGTTTCGATATAGAATGCCTTGCGCTTTACGTGTTTTCTTACTTTCAGTCATTATTTACATTTGTTACTCACTGAGTTGGAGTACTCACTTTACTCTCTGCACCCCTGTGTGTATATTCAGGCATAGCTGGTCCTGCTCCCGAGTGTTGATCCATCTAATTTTAGGCGAGCGTTCGGAGTCTACGAGGTAGTTGTTGACATCCGCAGCCCCGTGTCTCTACTCTTCTATCATTTCTATTTCCCTTCAAATATTTGTACTAGTTTATGGATTTAGAAGACTTGTATTATGGCCTATAGGCGCTCATGACTTGTGACACCCTGGTTAGGGCTGTGTTGGGTTGTACTTCTGCACTTTATTGACATTATCCGCTACCTAGTATTGCTATATAATGTTTTAGACTGCCTTTATGTTATTTAACTGTTTAAAAAGTGAAATGGGTTTAATTGGCTGGCCTTATCTTCACAAGAGGCGCCATCATGACCGGGTTTGGGTTTAGGGTCGTGACAAGTTGGTATCAGAGCCTTGGTTACATAGGTCTCACGAGTCATGAGCAGGTTTAGTAGAGTTTCGCAGATCGATATGGAGATGTCTGTATTTATCCTTGAGAGGCTGTAGAACCTTTAGGAATAACTTCATATTCTTGAAATTCTTGTCGTGCGAACTTGTTGATCTGAGTGCTAAACTTTTGTTATTCTATTATCTCACATATGGTGAGGACACGCGCTACCAGACGGGGTGGACGACCACCAGTGCCACTAGTTACGGCCACTAGAGGCCATGGACGCGGTCGTGGACGTGGTAGAGGCAGAGCAGCAAGGACAGCACCTGCGGATCCACCAGCTGCCCCAGCTCAGGATTAGGCTCCAACTGTAGATGCTCCAATAGCACCAGTTCAGGCATCAACTGTGCCCATCGTGATTTTGGGTCTTTAGGAGGTCTTGGCGCAGATCTTATCAGTTTGCACTGGCCTAGCTCAGGTGGTTTCAACCACTACAGCTGCAACTACTTCACAGGCCGAGGGAGGCAATCAGACTCCCGCCGCTCGCACACCTGATCAGGTTGTGCAGGGACTTCAGACGCCAGGGGCACCCCCAGCCCAGCCGGTTGCACCAGCTCAGGAGTTTGTGGTACCAGTTATGCCGGATGATGAGCAGCGTCGACTTGAGAGGTTTGGCAGACTCCAACCTCCGACATTTAGCGGTACAGAGGGCGAGGATGCCCAGGGTTTCTTGGATAAGTGCCAGCAGATGGTTCGTACAGTATGGATTCTTGAGACTAGTGGTGTGGAATTTACTACCTTTCAGTTTTCTGGGGCTGCCTTCACTTGGTGGGAGGGGTATGAGAGGCGTATGCCTGTTGGTGCAGCGCCCCTTACTTGGCAACAGTTCTCCGTTCTCTTCCTGGAGAAGTATGTGCCGCAATCCCATAGAGAGGAGCTACGTAGGCAGTTTGAGTGGTTGCAACAGGGGGATATGACTATGTCACATTACGAGTTGATGTTTCTAAGTTGGCTCGTCATGCCATCTGGTTGGTTCCGACAGATCGAGAGAGGATCATGAGGTTTGTTGATGGTCTTACTTATCATCTCCGTATTCTTATAACT